TATTTATATATATATTTTTTTTCTGAATTATTATAACCTTTAAAAATATTATAAAAAATTTTATTCAATTTCAGCAGATATTTCACCAATACTTATTCGTGATATATATCAATAAAACATTTAAATTTTTAAAAAATTATCAAATATCCATTATAATTAAATAAAACCTAATTATGCTTAAATAAAAACATTAATGAAAATTATCTTCTATATATAATTTTAAAAAAGAAATAAGATTAATAATATTATTTCTATTTATAAATATTAAAAACTAATTTATGAGAAAATGATTTATAATTTATTTATTTTTAGTAATAATATACATTAAATATGTTTTTAATTAAGATTACAAAATAACAATTATATATTTAATATTTATAAATTTTAATCAAAATTATAATTATACATTTATTATATTTTATAAATATTAATACATATAATAACACTTATCTGACACGTATCGTACCTATATATTTTAAAATAATCATATCACACCTAATAATATTGTCATATCCAATATGTGCATGTATCAACTCATTGTAATTTTTATCCCGATTCCACGTTAGAAGTTAAATGAGCTATTTTTTTTTAATGTTATTATTAATTTTAATATTTTGCATATAACACTTAACGTATTCCTATAAAAATGAGAACCATGAGGAAGAGGTGGAATTCGATTAAGGGATCCGGATCCTCTGACTTTGAGATATAAAAGTTATGATAACTTAATTCATTTCAACCGTTAGATTTATAAAAATAAATCACATTGTGACACGTGTACAAAATATATTTTGACTTAAATGTACACGTGTCATAATCTGATCTATTATTACAAATTTAACGGTTTAAATATGTTAAGTTACCCTAACTTTCCCTCCATAAAGTTAGGGGATCTATTTCCTCAATTAAGCCATTGCAATACAACCTTCCCCTGCGTTTATCCTAATGACAACATATCTTCACATTAATCTAGACTGTGGTCACTAAACTTATAACTCCATATTTCTATACATCATTATTTCCACGAGAAGGAAATCCTTCATATGATAACCAGATATATGGCATACACATCAATACAATGCATTTAAAACCCTATCATATAAAGGCACACCATTATCAAAATTGACAACCAATATTACAGAGATAACCATCAGAAGTCAGAACATTACTGCAAATTACAAAATGTTACTGGTACGAACAGTCACAAAAGTTCTTATTAGATCTAGCATGATATGGATACAAATTTCAAACTAAAGAAGTAAACTAAGTAGAACTATCAGTAGTATGCATATAAAATAACATTCAACTCTCCCCAAGCTCCAAGTCCATCCACCCACAACATTTTCATGATTTCTGCATGACGATAAGCACAAGGTGAGATTTTATCAAAAAAAGTGTGAAAAAAAAAATAACTTGACAGAAGAAGTAAAACATGAAAGAACTAGGCATCCAGATGCAGGCATCTCTGACCTGCATTGGAAGGTACAATTTGAACTCTGGAGGGAGTTCCTCTTCAGAGTAGAGGCGATCAGAAAAGTATATTCTTCTCAGGCGACAGTTTGCATGGACCTGTACCCGCAGTGTCTCCACATAATTAGTACCATATGCTCTCTTGGTGAAATCAGCCAGGTTAAACTGAATTTGATTCCACCCCTCATCCATTCTCAATGGCATTGTGCAAATGTAGGGCTTTACTCGAGTGACAGCCTATTATGAAATGAAGAGAACATGAAATCATTTGCATTGCATATTGACAGCTTTTCCTAAAGAAATGGCATCAATGTATTTCAGAAAAAATATTAGGATTTTATTTTAGCAAAAATGTTACTGTATTCCTTGTGTTTTTTACTTTTTATAAACACCACGGTAATAATCAAAAATAATATTGCTTGATAATAAGTATTTTACCACTAATATACCCCTATCTTTTGGTGATTTAATAAAGAAAGATTGTAATCATTGAATCACTCAAATCACTTTAGTCACAAATAAAAAATTGTATTTTTTTCCTACCCTTCCTTTCAATATATGCAGAACAAATAAGAAAATTCCAATTCCAGTCTCAAGCAAGGAAAATGATTTTGCTCCCTACACAACTATCATGGGTAATGTCCACTTATTGGCAGATTAAACAGGTCATGTTTTAAAAGTAAATCAATCTGTAATATAATTTTTTTTTTATTTCCTGTTAATATAGGTAGCTAATCTTCATATCAAATCCTCAATCACCAAATATCACGTAATAGAACAACTACTATGTCTGATGTCACTTAATCTTAAAGCAATTCTGAACTATACAAACTAATTGTACTGTAGATGCAGTCTCAAACAGTGAATTCTGTCACACTTGAGGAACATCACCAAGATTCTTCCAAGACTTTCGAACTATTAAATACAATGACCCAAAAATACACACCCCAACATTACTATTTAGAAAATCAAAAGTTCTCTATATTAGGTACATGCAAGCACTCATGCACAAAATACATATGGAAGAAATTAAACATCTGCAAGTTGTGGTAAACCCATTAAACACACAAACATGGGCAGACTTACACACTTGAAAATTTGAAGCTCGAAATCGACGTCGGACATTCTTATCATCCAAAACTTGAATCTCAAATGTGAAATACTTCTTTAGATTCTTGACAATCATAACCAAGAATGGAAGTTTTATACCAAGTGTTGCAGCTGGATCGGCAGGGCAAGTAATATATGTAGACTGAATATTTGATCCAATTATCTCCAGCACATTGGATTGTATGTCTTCATCCTGAGGTCGTTTAATATGGCCATTTACAACTATAAACAAAGTCCAAGACAAATCAGTCAAATAATATTTACCATGAACATGGAAAAGATTGTTCCTATCATGAAGAAAACCACAAATATGTTAAGACAAACAATCATCTATGAGAGACAGCCATGGCAGTTAGAATTGTATGAATCGCACGATTCGAATCGCAAAACGAGACAAAAAACTGCATCATGATACGAATCATTAGATGATTCATTTTTGCACTCAATTGGACCTGGTATCGCACGATTCACTTGTGAATCGTTGTTTTGCGATTCCACATTTGTCACGCACGATTCAGACGTGCGGAATGCGTGGCTGACTTGGGTCGGGTTTACAAGACCCATTTCTGAAGAAAAACAACATTTGGAGCCAATTTTTTTTAATTTACTTTTCAGAAAGGGGGGAAATGGAGAAAACGGAAAACCGAAGTGCCTCTTTCTGATTTTCATTAACCGCCCCAAAATTCCTTTAATATCATCACGTCACGCTGCTGGTTAGTTTTTATTATTATCTTTTAAAGTTTTAAATTATTTTTCTTTTTCTTTTTCGGTTCATGTGATGTATGTGACAGTGTTACATAAATATTTTACTGTCTTTTCAGTTTTGTGGTAGGCAGTTGCAATATTTGGCTATTTGCAGCAAAGAATTGCTCTTTTTTTATTTGCTAAATATATATTTTTTTATTTTAACTTTAAACAATTACTTTTTTCTTTATTCTTTTTTAAAAATTTATGATAATCACTTTTTTTTTAACTCCTCCTAAATCCTAATTACTTTTCTCTTCTATGATATTTTCTGAATCTTAATTCTTTAATTTTTTTTTATTTGATTTCTTTCTCCCAATTAGTTATTACTTTTCTTGATCATGTTTTTTTTTTCTCTTTTATTACTTTTTCTGATTCTTTGAAACAACAATTGTCATGTTAGGTTTTTTTTCACCTTTTAAATTCTTAATTATTGACATTTTTCACCCTTCTTGTCTTGTAAAAAAAAATCCAGTTACTGCATTATTGTTGGTGGGACAATGGGTTTGAAGAAACAAAAAAAAGAAACGGATATTACATGGAGTCATTGTGAGAGTGTTCCATCTCATAGGCTTTTAGTTAAATGCAAATATTGTTCACATACTTGTTGGGGTGGTGTGGCAAGAATGAAGCATCACCTTGCTAGAACAAAGGAGAATGTTAGTGTATGTACCCATGTTCCAAATGAAGTCAGAGAGATGTTTTTGAAGTTGTTAGAAGATAGAGAAAAAACCAAAGAGGCAAATAGTCATGACTGTTTTGAAGAAGCAGGTCCCCAAGATAATACAAAAAAAGGAACGTTAGAGTCATTTGCCAAGAAGGGGAAGCAAGGTATTAAGCAAAAAACTATGAATGAAATGCTTAAAGACAGGGAATTGGTGATTGAAGACATTTGCAAATGCATCTATGGGAATGCATTGCCATTTAATTTGGTAAGAAGTTCTTTATTTGTTCAAATGTTGAAATCTATTGGTGAATATGGAAGGGGTTTAAAACCACCTACATATCATGAGGTGAGAGTGTCTTACTTAAAAAAGGCATTTGACAACATCCAAGCTAGTTTGGAAAAATACAAGGTTGAGTGGGAAAAATGGGGTTGCACTTTGATTTGTGATGGTTGGACAGATGGAAAAGGTAGATCACTAACCAATTTCTTGGTTAATAGTCCAAGCGGAACTGTATTCTTAAAGAACAAATAGCTGCAAATTTCAAGAATCAAGAGTCACGATATAAAAAGGTGTGGAAGATAATTGATACTCATTGGGATTTGTAATTACATAGTCATCTTCATGTTGTTGCTTTCTACCTTAATCCTAGGTAAGTAATTTTTTTCTTTAAGTTTTATAGCCTACAATTTTGTATAGAGATAAAACATGTACTAATTTATTATTTTACTAGGTTTCATTATGATAAAAACTTTAATCCAGATACTGAAGTTATGATCGGTTTATATGAGACGATTGAAAAAATGATCCCTTATAGAAGGATCAGATTTAAAATTGATCAACAACTGGATAGATTCAAGACTGCCAATGGAATTTTCGGAAAGAGCATGGCAATAGACACTAGGAACAAGAAGCAACCTGGTGAGATTTTGCTTATCTCTTATAATTTTAAAAGAGCATGGCAGCCAAGATAATATTTATTTAAGTTGGCTTTTGCTTTGATATTTCAGCTCTTTGGTGGAAAAGTTATGGTGGGGAATGTCCAGAGTTACAAAAACTAGCAATGAGAGTTTTGAGTCTCACTTGTAGTGCTACAGGATGTGAAAGAAATTGGAGCATATTTGATCAAATTCATACTAAGAGAAGAAACTGCTTAGAACAACAAAGATTAAATGCTCATATTTTTTAAGTATAATCTTCAACTTGAGATGAGGCACAAGGTTAGAAAGGAGAAAGGAGATACTTATGATCCTATATGTTCTGATATTGAATCAAATGAAGAATGGATTACTGAAAAAGAGAATCCATACCTACCAATAGATGCTTCATGGATGGATATACATGAGTTTTTTACTTTAGAAGAAGGAGCTCCAAGCAAAAAAAAAAAAGGAAGAGAGGTATTTGTTTAAGTTTAAAGTTTAGATTTAGAACATGTACTTTAAATATAAAAGTATAAAATTATGTTAAGATACTCATTAAGTTTTTTCTTTAATAGGTCCAAGAAACTTAAATGCTAAAGATGATAGGAAGGGAAAATCTACCAGCACAGGAGAGGAAAATGAAACAGAAGAGACAATTGGAGATGTAGAGGAAGAGGAAGAAGAGTAGCATTTGATTTTAGAGGAAGAGGATGAACTAAGTGACATTGATCTTGGAGATGATGAATGAAAGCATAAGCCTAAGGTGTAGAAGTAGGAAATAGTAATTTGCATTTTGCCATCATATTTTGTATTTAGGGGTTGAACTTAAAGACTTCAACTTAGTGCAATCACTAATTTTTGTTTTTTGATATATGACTGATCTTGAATTATTTTGTGATTCATACTTCATAGCCTAATAGATGATATATTAGTGTCTATTTTTTTTGTTAAAATACTATATTTTTATTGATCTTGTATCTTACAATTTGTAACACGACACGATTCACGATTCGTAAAATAACTTTTTCGATTCACAATTTGAATCTTGATTCGATAGCCATGGAGACAGCTGCATTCATCTAATATTAATGCAAGAAATAAAACAAAGGGATGGAGCAATTGATGGAATCAAAACATTAGGAAAGAATACAGAGAGGTAATCAAGAAAATCAAATGCTTAATTTAACAGATCGCATGCAACGCAATCAGGGGATTTAGGAGGGAAAGTTGACCTGTGTGTAACTATAAGAAAGGGGATAAAGAGAAGAGAGGGAAAAAAATAAGTAGAGGGCAATGAGTTAGAGCACAAGGTGCATCTGATAACATGTGTTATCATTTTGTTTTAATTCTTATCATTCATTGTATGTCTACCAAATGGTGACCATATTGGTACTATTATTTTCAAATTAATAGAAGTAGATTAATCTCATTTCTGTGTTTTGTTGCAATTTCTAACAATTGTTATCTAAGTTTTTCACCGGTTCTCTCAGCTGCAGATATGTGGCATAGGGGACAAAAAGACTAGTGCATAGCTAGCTTGTATGGGCACTTAGGCTGTGGAGTGTAATGGGATGTCAAGATGCAATTGCAAGTTACAGCCTGGATTTCACGTTGGAAGCATGGGATTCCAGGGTGGGGTTTATATGGCCTTGAGCTCTCTAACTACGATAGCCAGCATTTGTGATTCTGCAAGGGGAGGGCATTTAAGCTTTTTCAGGACTTGTAAGAGGATTACTGGGTTGTTAGCTGAAGGCGTGAAAAAGGTAATAGAAAATCAGGCAGCTTGTGACACCTGCCAAGGAAATAAGTACCAAGCCCTATCTCCTGCCAGGTTACTACTACAAACACTACCAGTACGGCAGTACCCATTCAGGTTTTGTCAGATATTTTTATGGATATCATTGGAAGGTTAACCAAGGCAATGGGAGTGGACACTTTAAGTTTTCCTTTCACAGTTAAGCGAGTGGCAGAGTGCTTACTAAAGATGTTAAATTGAATTGCTACCCATCATCAAAATTCAATAGTCTCTACTCTCTACAGAGACAAACTCTTTGTCAGCTAATTTTGGACCGAGTTATTCAAGAATCAAGATGACAGGTACCAAACTCAATATTAGTTGAACTTACCACCCTTAGTCTAATGGTCAAACTAAGGTTGTCAATTAATGCCCAGACCTAAAGATGTATTTGAAATGTTTAACAGTTTCAAAGCCTAAGCAGTGGCCCAAATGGCTCAGTTGGGCTGAGTATTGGTATAACACCAATTATCATAGCACCACACAATTTTCTCCTATTGAAGCCTTGTATGGTAGGGACCATCCTACACTATTAAGAAGTCCCACAAGTCCATCAACTAATAAGGAGGTTAACCATTGAATGGCAGACCAGTGTCAGATGTTGGATAACCTCAAGCATAAATTGATGCTGGTAAAAAATATGATGAAATTGTAAGGTGACAAACATAGAAGGGATGTGTACTACCAATTTGCAGACTTAGTTTACCTTATGCAAACTGAGGATGATACAAAAAAAAAAAGTCAATCCCAGAGAAATTCGAGAATCTGGACAGTTAATTCTCCCTCCACCCAGTACATAAGGTAACCCCCTTAACTGACTGTAACAAACCTCCTAACCATAACCTCTGTTTAAAATTAACCCACTCCTTCTCTTCCTAAAATTGACCTGTTTAATTATAGGTCTGCTATAAGTCAATCACACAAATCTTACTACTTCATGAAATAAACAATAAATAAACTTTTATAACGAGAATTAAGTATCACTCAGACGCAATTTCAGATCAAGGCACATGAGAGCATTGATTTTAAAACAAGCTCAAAATATTGGATTTCACAAGGGGTTATTTTAGAAGATAATACAGCACCATTCGAAAATGAATGATTAAGATTTTAATAACTTCATAATTTGTCATACATGTGCATGTATTTTGTCACAATTCCTCGCTCTAAAGCATCCAAATTACAAAAACATTACTAATCGATGCTACAGAAAACCAGAAAAAACTCACCTTCTTTGTCCCATATCTGCAGAGGTTTACTCCTGTATATAATGGAAAACCAATGATAAATTTCAGTATCTTCATCGTAAAAAACATGCGAAAAAGAAAAGTGGAAGAAGCGCACCAAAACGCAACATACCCAAGGCTATATAATATGGAAAGAAATCCAGATTGGAACGTGTTCTTGAACATCTTCTGCACCGCCAAAACCCACCACAAAACTATAGCAAATTTTGAAACCTAAAAAAAACATGAAAAAAAAAACTACACGAAATTAACATAGAATTACACACAGAATTATCTGAACGGAATGGACTCGGATTCAGGAAAGAAAGAGAGAAAAAAAAAAAGAGGAAGTTATTGAAAATTACAAGGCGTGCGAGAGGGAAGAAGGAAAGCGAAGTAGCGATGTGAAAACCCTAACACGAATGGTTTTGTTGAGAGCAATAAGACAACAAATAACGGAAACAAGTGAGAATGGGAACTTACAAATTGGGGCACCAAAAAGCTTCAGGTGGGTTCTGGAGAGGAATCAAATTGCTGGTAAATACGGCGACAGAAGGATAAATTATATTTTTTTTCCTTTATTTATTTTTAAATATTTAATTGAATTTTATTATTTTAAATTGTTGAATTTAATTTTCTAATTTAATAAAATCGAATGAAAATATAATATTAAAAATAATTTGATATATATGTATGAAGTCTACATTAAACATAAATATGCATCTTGCATCAACACTTTTTTGGATTTGAGGATGAAAAAGGGAGAGTGAAAAAAGAGGGATTTGAAGGAAAAATTAGTGGAAAGTAAGATTGTTTGGATTAAGAAAAAGTGAGTGAAAAATGTAGAGAAAGTTTATGAATAAATTGATTGATGTGATAGATAAAAATAAATTTTTTAATCAATAATTTTGTAAGATTACTATTTTGCCCTTAAGTTAACAAAAAAGTTTATAATTATTATAATTAAAAGATAAATATAAAATTTTTAACTAAAAAAAAATATAAAATCTTAATTTAAAAAAAAATTAATTTAAATATTTACTTTAAATTTAATGATAAACAAAAATTAAAAATTTAATAGATGAATATGTAATTTATACTTTTACTCTTAGATTAAAAATGAGTATAATATTATTTATTATAAATAATAATAATTACAATAAAATTATATTAATAGGTATAATTTATTAAAAAATAATAAATAATGATAATAATAATAATAAATATTAGAAAAATAATAGGAATCATAATAAATAATAATGATACTAATTATCATAAATAATAATAATATTAATAATAATGATAATAATAATAATATTTATAATAATAAATAATAATAATAATAACAAAATATATTAAGATAATTATATTTTTTTTAACATTATTTTATATCCAGAACGGCGCGTTCTCAGATCAGAACGGTCCGTTCTAGATTACAAATTAACCCACAAGGGCCATGTGTGGAACGGCCCGTTCCCAAAGTGGAACGGCCCGTTCTGAGTTCGCATATTGCTCATAAAATCTAGTTTTGGAACGGCCCGTTCAGATTTCGCCTGGAAGCGAAAATATGCTACCATAATCGATTATGTGTCATGCATAATCGATTATACTTCATTCCTACATGAGGCATAATCAATTATGCCAGCCCATAATCGATTATGTGCCATGCATAATCGATTATGCTTCATTCCTACACTCCCTCATGCATAAAAAAATGAAACTTACCTACAATGGCACAGTCTCTGCATGCATGGGATAGGGGTATTATCGAGTTTTCTCAAATCTTACGTGACTTTCATCTCTTTTCTTCGCAAAAGCGCGAGGACGGCAACGGAGTTTCTCCCGCTTTTCTTCGCCTTTCTTTCCTCGCAAATCAGCAGAAACAAACGTCCACTTTCTTCGCCTTTCGTTCGTCGTGAACAATAAATCAGCGGAAACAAACACTACCTAAATGTAAAAGTATATTAAAATTTCAATTTTAATTGGATGCAGCAATCATACTTAAAAAAATGTAAATAAGTTTTATAAAAAAAAATAAGTGAATAAAATTAAGTAAAAAATAAAATAAAAATTAATATCAAGGTCATGACTAAGACAAGGTCATTAAGATCATTAAGTATTTAATCCCATTTTTTATATATATTTTTATAATAAATAATTTTAATATAAATAATTAAGTGGTGTATTTTATTATATTATAATTAATTAGTTAATGCAGAACATCTTATAATTATTTAAAATTTATATATACACATATAAATATTATAATAAGATTATTAATTTTTGAAACTTTTATTATAATTTAAAAGTTGTTTTACATTTTTTATTGAATTTCAATTAAAAAAAATAGTATCGAAATGAATATAAGAATTAATTTATATAAAAATAGTATATATATATATATATAAATAATGATAGCGATACGATCATAAGAACATTATGTTAATTTGGTTTTTTTTAAAAATATTTTATAGTTTTAATTATTTTCTATAAATATTAGATTAATTTATTTTATTATATTCACACCATATTATAAAATATTTTAAAATATGAAATCACTTTAAGAAAAATATTTGAATTTCAATAAATAAGATTTTGAAAAAAAAAATATTGTCTTGATTTTATATTAATGATCATGAATTTTTTTCTTTAATTTAAAAATTTTAAAAATTACTAACAAAAATAAATTAGTGTTTTATTATAAGTACTAAATATATTAAAAATTAATTTATTAAATATATGCAATATATTTATAAAGTACACTGCAAAAAGCGATTGAATTAGTTGTTATTAGATGTTGAAAATTCTTAATTATTAATATTTATTTAACATTTTTATTAATTAAAAATAAAATTATATATTTAATTAAATGTGCTTAAACCATAAATAAAAAATCTACCTTAGACCTAAAGTTTGTTAAACGCAACCCTAATTAATATGTTTGATTAAAAAAAATATCTATTTTAGGTAGGTTAAATAATGTGTATCAAAAACTTTCGTTTGAGCAGCGAAGAAGAAAATAACTTAACAGATGAAATGTTGGAGAAGAGTCAAATGAAACATTAAATATTTTATACCGGTTCGTCTCAACCACCAAGACTACGTCCAATTTTCAATCCAACCAGATTGAGTTCTACTATCTTTTAAACAAGATACAAGTATTCTTTCAATAGGTTACTTTTTGCTCAATCTTAAGTAGTCTTTGACTTGCCTCTTCAAGCAACTATCCAAGTATTCTTTGAACAACAAGCCTCTCTAAGCATAGCACCAAGTATTCTTTCTTAAACAAGTCTTTCCAAGCTCAACAAGCCTCTTCAGGCTTAACACCAAGTATTTTTTAAATAATAAATTTCTTTAAACAATAAATTTCTCCAAGCTCAACCTTTACAACAAAGGTTACAAAAGATTATAAGGTTGTTTCATCTCTTCTAGACGTGTTGCAACCAACAATAAAAGTACAGATACTCTAAAAAAATATATACAAAATTCACAGTAAGTGTTTCTTTGTATGCATATCTCTATTATGTGTTTCTATGTTGTATATTTCTTTCTTGAAGGGTTGATCTTTATATAGTAACTTCAAAGAAGATGACCATTATGGCAATTTGAGTTGAACTCACAAGTTACTTCACGAGTTGTTTCGTCTATTTTCACTGCTGATCCTAAAGGAAAGAGATTACCATTGCTTCATTTAATGTGAGCATTAAATGATTTTTAGTAAAGCGTGTATCTCTTATCTGATCTAGGAGGCTACTTATCATCATTTCTTTCTAAAATGGGAATAGTAGAAGTAATGTCAGTGCAAAGCAATTCTTATAGAGTTTTTTTTTCTTGCTTTTCCGTGATATTCGTGACTTTGTCTTTTGATTCTGATGAATAATTTAACTTTTCCTTCTTTAACAAATTTTGAGAGTTCCAAGACGTTTTTCTTGTTCAATTTGTTAAGGAATAACATATTTAATGGAATTTATTGTTAGTCTCACTTAAAAAGTATACGTTTAATACATAATGAGAGAGATTGTATGCTTCATATGATTCTCTTCATCTTACAAACGATATACATTTTATACTTCGCCTGATATAGAATATTTTGCAAATAATTCATTTTGTGTTTAAAAAATCTTTCATTTGTTATCATTAAAACTTAAGAGATCCAAGATTGTCTTTTGACTTAACATACTCACACACATTTTTTTGTGTTGTTTGTTTTGTTGTTTGGGTTGATTGTCACATAAGTAAGCATGATCATGTTGAGTAGGAGGAGATTGCGAGACCAAGCTTACAATTATGTTACTTTTATTGTTGGGTCACTTTGATAGATTGTGAAATTAGGGTTGAGATAAGTTAGTTTGGGTTATGATGATGAATATATTTTTGTTATAGCATTAGTTTGAGAACATGTAATGGCCGTTTTTGTGAAAAATAAGTTATGTGAATCATTTTACCATGAGTTAAGGATTAATTATATTCAATTGTCATATTTAATTATTATGATTGTTTAAACTAAAATATTGTGGGGGTAAAATGATGTCACGTTATAAACTTTCAATTTAACCCATCAATTTTTATTAATTTTTCTTTTCTTAGTTGACTTTTTCATTTTCTCTAAAAAGTCAATAATGAAAATTATTGTGATGATTATTTTTATTCATGTTTATTTTAGTTATATAAACTAGTGGAAAATAAGACATTTTGTAACAATATGAACATACAAGAATGAGAAGGATCTAGAGATTATACAAGTATAAGATTATATAGTTGATGATGGCTTAAAAGAATTAATTTGTACTACCTATAACAACAAGATACATCTATTTTTCGGTAGCTCATCACATAAGAAATTCACAATTAAGCGTGCTTCACTTGAAGTAATTTAGGGATGGTGACATTCTAAGAAGTTTCTTAGAAAACATGCGAGTGAGGAAAAAGCACATTAAAAAGTCTTCTATTGGTTTATGGGGTCAGTTGTTAATCTTATAAGTGGCCAAACATTTCAAAAAAGGATACCAATGGAGGGTTTTGATCAATGAAGGGTTTTTATCAACAAGGAGTTGTGTGAAGTATCATGGAGTGGAGTTACTAAGAGGTCAAATTTGAGAGGATTACAAATGGTATCAGAGCTAGGTTCTCTCACCTAGTACGGTGTTGTTTGGGGATGAATCAAGCAGAAGCTAGTGGGCTTGTAACAACTTGAACACACCAGAATAAGAAGGATCTAAAGATTGTATGATATTGTATAATGGAGGATAGCTTAAAGGAATTAATTTATACTACCTCTACCAACAAGATGCATTTACTTTTCGGTAGCTTATTGTCGAAACCCGAAAAATTCCAATCTCGCTGACAAATGGTTTTAGACTTCCTTTTTAAAAATTTCATCAATTAGGGAATGCTCAAACACTAGATTAATCCCTAACTAATGATTTTGAAGAGTTCGAAGGAGTCACTGTAACACCCCATTTTTCAAAAAAGGTTATTATTATTTCTATTATTATTATTATATGAT